ACACAGACGCACGTTAGCTTCTCATTTATAAGTGTTCGTTGCTCCCTTACTCGCTGTTATTTTTTGCGGCACTTACCCCATGTAAGAGTCCAACAGACTCAATGACTTTTCCTGGGTCAGAATAGCCATAATACTATTTTCTTAGCACCCTAAAATAACGTGTTTCTCTGCGCGACGCTACGTATACATTTGTTCCGCACGTACGCTTTCCTTTAACTGATCTATATTACTTCACTTCTATCGATCAATCCTTTTCTCTTCTAGTGTCCTGTGTGCGCTTTTGCAGTAAAGGTTTCGGCACTTACTTATGTAGGTGATAATCTCTCTCAGAGGCTTTTCCAATCTCAGTCGGCCATAGCAACACGAAGACCGAACGGCATACGCAAAAATTCGAACAGCCCGAACGGCGTGATTACAGCAGTCTTGGGGATGTCTTCCTCAGCGACTGGAATCTGGTGATACGCGCGAACCAGATCGATTTTCGAGAACACACGGGTGCCGCGCAGGCTTGCCGTGATGTCCTGAATGTGAGGAATCGGATATCGGTCGGGAACAGTAACGTTATTGAGCGCTCGGTAATCTCCACATGGTCGCCAGTCTCCTGACTTTTTGGGCACCATGTGGAGCGGCGACGCCCAGGGACTTTTAGACGGGCGAACGATGCCTAGTTCAAGCATGTGCTCGAATTCTGCGCGAGCAATTTTCAACTTGTCAGGGGTCATTCGCCTGGCTTTGGCAAAAACAGGCGGACCTTTCGTAACGATGTGATGTTTCGCAGCATCAGTGGCGGATGAAAACGGTGCCATTGCACGAAAGACTTGAGGGAACTTGGTAATAAGCATCTGACCGATAGGCGAGCTTGACAGGTTGGCGTATACAGGACTGATTGACTCTATGTCGGTCAAAGTACCTATAACTGCCAGGTTTGTTTGACGATCGATCAGACGGCGTTGCTTCGCGTCAACAAGTAAATCGAAGTGCTGCAGAAAGTCAAGGCCAAGAATTGGCGTCTGGACATCTGCGACGAGGAAGATCCATTTAAATGAACGTCGTAGGTTTAGATTAAGCGTGCGCGAGCGTTGACCATACACGCGAATGGTGGTGCCGTTTGCTGCGCGCAATGAACCGGTCGCCTCTTCGATAACGTCATTAGAATCACGTGGGATAACGCTGACTTCTGCGCCGGTGTCAACGAGATAGCGTACTCCCGTACTGCGATCGGTGACAAAGAAAAGGCGACTGGGGCAGCCAGCAACGTCCGTCGCCCCTACGTGCTGGCCTACCCGTTTCCCTGCATGTTGCGCTTGAAAGAACAAGGTGGGCGACACGATCTGGCCTGATGACCAAATCGCTCGTGGTACCAGCAATAGCTTGACCTAGGGGAAGATTTCGAATGTGATCTAGGAGGACTGCGACTACTGGAACGATTTCGGCGGTTGGATCCGGATTGTGTTAGCTTCTCTAGTCGGTTGGTCAATGCGGATACTTGCGCTCTTAGTTCTGCTACCTCTGTACTGGAGGTAGACTGAACCTGAGATATTTGGGCGTTGGATTCCCAAATACGGTCGGCAATATCTGCGAGCTGAGGAAGAGGCGCATCGTTTGCATACAAGGGATTGCGCATGTCACGTGGCAGGCAACGAAGCCACATCTCTTTAAGGAAAGAGTCGCCAACAGCGAGAGGCTTAGCCAGAGCTTGCATCTTGTGCAGCAACTGCGAAGGCTTTCGATCCCCAAGCTCGGTTTCGTTAAGAAGCTGCGTGACGCGAGCATGGTCTGATATGCCAAATCGCTTTAAGACGACGGCCTTAAGCTCATCGTAAATTTTCTTACCTTCCGGAAGTTCCAAGATGTCGTCGAGGTCATCGACGACTTGCGGGGGAAGCGCGGCGACAACGCAGTGAAATTTGACGCTGTCAGAGTTAACGCCATGTAACGAAAAAATGGACTCTAGCTGGTTAAACCAGGCCTTAGGGTTAGTCTCTCGGAAAGGCGGAAGAGGGAAACTTAACCCACAAACCTGATCGTCAGAATCTGGGCGACTGACCTTCATGGTGAAATAATTCCGGAGCGTGTGAATGTGAACACAAATAGTAAAGAGAAAAAGCAGAAAGGTAGACAGAATAAATAACCGGATCTGAAAAATAATATTAGTACCGAACTCACCAAAAATAGTTTTTTTTCGAGGTCACCAATTATAGCGCGTAGATCGTGCGCTATATATCCGGTACGCGACTAGACGACCAACCAAAAGTAGTGGGTAGAAGACACAAAAGTAAACTAGGGAAGAAGTTTATTGGACGGGAGGAGCGTTAGCTAATGCTAAAAATAGGGCACCCGGAGAGCGCTAGCTAGGGAGAATGTCGTTGGCGTCGAGAGCGTAGTCGGAGCGTCGTTCGCAGTCGAGCCGCGCGCCAAAGGCGGAGATCGTCTTCATGTTTCCAACAAACGGGAACAACGTTCCAACAGGCAAACCGAATGGTTCCCTAATACATAAGAAAGCTATAATTTGAATATTTTAGAATAGTTTACACAGTCATACGGGGGAATCTCCAGGTCGCTACACTCTGTTCTCCGTATCGGAGCTGCTCCCTGCTAGCACAAAAAGGACTTTGAAGGCGAAAATGTGTGGTAAAGTCCTTAACCGTCAACTATAAACATGAATCCATGGTTAAGGACTTTGGCGACCATTTTGTAGGCGAAATTTGTCCTTCCACTGCAGCTGTATTAAGTACACAGTGAAGGACTTTGCACGTTGTCCAATCATAAATCAAGGTTTAACAGTGGACGACAGACACACCAGCGGAGCATGAATGGTCGTTGACGATTGACCTTGAACGGCGTGGACCAATAGCCGTGCACGCACCACTACGATACGCACGCACGCACCTAGGCGGAAACCCGGGTACGCCGCACCTAGCCGCTACCCCGGAACGCCGCACCTAGCCGCTACCCCGGTACGCCCCACGTATTGGCTACCCACCCAAGCTCCCACACCGCTGGATGAGGATCTCAAATCCCTACCTGCGCTTCCCGTTAATAATACTATGTAACGCAAGTATCATATCCGCTTACAAATGCAAGGTAAAAGTGCGAGTCATAGCTATGACATATTTTCGCTTGCGGCGTAACAAAATGAATGGCAGGGGAAAGCGTGGTATCATGGTGCACAGCCTGCTGCCACTGAATGGAGGAAACCATGTTTAACATGGCGCACATGCATGGTGCATGCAGTCCCACTAGTCATAGTGATGCCTTAGTATTTCAGTCCCACTGAGCACAAAGATAGAGGGAATGGAATCCGATCATTTCACAGTAAGAAGTCTGTTTACCGACGTATAGTATTGGATACATTAATTGTAAGGACATCAATACTGATAACAGAGGTCCGTGTTCAGTTTGACACCGTTACCGTTCTTCCATGCTGTCGCCGGGGCAGTCCAAGTCCACCAATTGGGGAACCTTATGTAAGGAATGTTATTAAGTAATCCACCATTTCATACCTGCTGGCTGCTTGCACAACCTTTGGGAGTGTCGCGCCATGCATTGCCACGAATGGATTTCAAGTATTTCCTAACATATTGTGTAACGTCATCGGGTGACACGTTACTTCCGGAGAAACGTTTTAATAGAGAAGCTAGGACAAGGATGGAAGGGCAAAGATGTTGCTTACCTTGCATTTCGGTGAATAGCTTCGTTTTCCGGAATCCTTGTTTGTTGCGGGAACCGGAGTAATTGATCTCTGCCATCAATGACCGCGTTAGAAGGCGCTGCATCATGAGGCGTACGGTCTCCGACAACGTTTCTCCATGCACACCTTCCAGATAAGTATGCTGCATGCATATGTGAGGTATCAAAGCATCCTACCAATTGTTGCCTGCGTCCTGCATCCTGCATTAGTATATCGAAGGACTGCAGTTCCTCCACCGATGTAATTGGCAAAGGAAGCTGCGTTGCCTGCTGCCCTGGTTGCCCGGCAATTGTTGCAGCCATCGATCTCATGGAGCTCTTCATATACTCCAGTGTCTCCATAATTTTCTGAACATTACCTGCAAACGTAAACCCTGTTTTAAAAAAGGTAGGAAGTTACCATTTATGGACTGCAGTTCATTCTTCATTTGGTCTATATCGCCTGCAAAAAATGGTAAAACCTCACGTACATGCTTACGGTGAATAGCATTCCAATTGCTTGTAGGAACGGTGATGAAGGAGGAATCGGAGGTGGACTCTAGTACTAGGACAATCAAGCTACAAAGTGTAAGCACCAACCCGATGCCGTTGACGGAATCTGTGGGTTCGACTTTTCACCACAGTTAGATGCGGTATTGAACGCTGTAGTTTAACATTAAGCAAAATGTACCCCTTACCTGTATAAGCTGGTTTGTATCCACCCATGTTGTATTGCTGGGAAGACCACTGACGTGAGTTTTACCCATCGAGCGGGCCAACTCAGTTAAAGAACAGATAGGTGGCGAGCCATATGGAACGGCTGTGGGAACCATGCGTTTCCTGGGTGGCTCAAAGTCATCGTCGTCCGAAATCAAACGACGTGGCATACGGCTGTGATGAAATGTTATATAGATGTGGCAACTCACATGAGTCTACGTGGGGGTGTGCCCATGTCGACTGTTGAATCCGTGTCTTCCGGCAGGTTCGAAAGGTCGACGGAGTTTGCTATTGCAGCAGCCTGATCGAAATCCACTGAAGACTTATGACAGCACAGAACTTACTGGTTCGCCGAAGTATAGTCACACGGGCCAACTTACAGTTATCCTCCGCCGGCCGGTGTTCCCTCACAGCGTTAAGGTATTCCGAAGGGGGTACGTTTGGTAGCAACGCCTGCCGACCGTCCCCAAGCAGCCAAGAGCTGCTTATGGTTGTAACCGAGCATCCAGTGGACGTGCTCAGGGAAACGACGCAATATGTTAACGAAGCCATAACGCTGAAATAGATGACTTATGCAAGTCCGTTTGCACAAACACTGATTACGAGAACAATGTAATAGCAACGAAACTTTTAATTAATAAATATTGTCTGTACATGAACCCCCACTCCGAAACACCTGTGCGGTCTCCTGAAAAGGTGTGCCCTTGAATGCATCGCCATTGAAAACCTGTCAACGTGTGTAAGATAATGAGCATGTTACCTGCGTCGGTGCTGGTAAACGCCATTCCATGTTGTTCATATTGTTTTACATCGTTTGTCGAGTGCTTGTCAACGCAGATCTTTGCCAGTAACAGTGCATTCACCGCCCTGTGGTTTGCCATTCTGCTGCACATAGACGTATTCACCCTGTTAACAGCCCTTCATATGCCTATCGGCCGAATACAGTTACGATCTTGTACCCCCGTTCCAATGTTGCTTCGTACCGCATCATCCACGCTTGCCCAAAACAGTATTGATATGGAACCACCGTATGAGGATGTACTGTCCCTCATTAGGTGAAGTGAATACATGTGTCTGATGGACGCCCCGCGACCATACTCCATGAAGAGGTATTAAGGGACCTCGTATAACAGGATAAGTGCAACCCGTTGAGAAAGAATCCCCAGTCATCAGGTAAATAAGAAATTAAAAATCAGTCCAAGGAAATAAAAAATAAGCATAGCCATTAAAATAACTAGTCAGGAAATGAATAAAATAAAACACAAGTAGATCAAAGTGAAAAGGAACATTTAGGGACCCTGAACATGCACAATGCTTCACGTATTACCATCCGGAGTTCTAAAGGTGTGCAACAGGGGAACAATAGCTAAGAAGTCATCAACAGAGAAGCATACACATTTGCAAAGTATATCACCCACACGGAATGATTTGAGATCATCGCTGATGCCTGAGGCTGCAAATATGTTGCAAACGGAAGAAGGTATCTGGAGATGGTACAACGCATGCACGCCTGTGAAAGGTTTACAAACAATGGTCTCACATTCTGAGCCCATATGGTCAAACCGGACAATGCAATACGGGTAATCAGATACGATGATAACGTTATCAGGTGCGCTGCATGCGTACGTTGTACCATCCAGTATCAACAGTTCACGACGTGTTAATGCACGATGTTGTATGCGAGTAAGCTGAGATTCAGGCCAAGGCGAGAAATTGGAGACGTCCGCATATTCCAAGCACCGTCTCACAATCTGCGCCGCGGGATTTCGTGCGTTCCGCACTACTCGCTTCAGGACGCCTATGTAAGACTCGAATGGAAATGCGGAGAAATCATCAAGGGTTCCATGCACTTCCACATCCAATGCTAGGTGACTTAGGCAGTGAACATTGTACGTCATCTGGTCTTTCCCGTACAGGCGGTAGTACCCGTGTATGAAATTAAGCAGCAACCGTTTCGCGAAAGACCAGTAATGCCTATGCAACAGCGGGTGACAGAAGATGTATATTCCCAGATGAAGGTGTAAAAAGTTGTCGTAATAATCTCCCGGTAGCACGTTTATCAACATTGCAGGCGCGGCGTATAAAACAAACTGCCTAAATTCAACGGCTTTCCAACCTTTAAACATAGATATACCTCTGCAACGCCTAGGAAAATCACATGGCCATGCAGTCGTATTTTGTAGCAATAAGTGATCTATTGCACGCAATGTATCATTAGGCAATTTTACTTTCTTCCATGTCGGTGCCTCTATCCATAAACCGATTATGCGTCGCACCACTCCTAAGCACACGCAATGCATGTAGTCAATGGGAAATTTCGAAACCATATCAATACCGAGGTATTCAAAAGGGGACATCAAAGATCGCTTCCTTTTCATAACCGATTTATGCGACCTAAGGCGGCATGTAGTAGATGGGAAGGTAACCTTCCGGTTGACATAAGTACCTTTCTGAATGCATTTGCCGCAACTGCTGTACCCTGAGTGCCCCTTGGTCCTCTTCACATATGCTCGAGCAGGCGCGTCGCATATAACAGCCCCTAATTCAACAGATGTGGGCCTGGAGCATGCAGCAAGCGTGAAACCCGTTGACAGCAGCACCTGCAAATCACGTATCAGGGGAGTTAGAAATTCAATCACATCGGGTTTCTCAGGACCACCGTAAACACCGACAACAAATGGTTTTGACTTCACGGGGTAAATAGATCGACACTGAATCGGCCAGATCTGCATTTTCGAGGAGTTGAACGGGGTGAAAGCATCTATGTGCAGCTGGACAACAACCCTTTCCGGCGGCTGTATGTCACCATCCTGGTAGATACTGCGTAGACCACGCAGCAGCCCAATGTGTCCATATGCACCGGCACCAATGCTAATGGTCTGCGCATTCCTTGGAGTTCTCATAAGCGTTCGGTAATCTTTCGGTATCCAAGGCATGCTCCTGCGAAGGGCCGCAAGCAACTTGTTCACGGAAGAAATGCTGGGTCGTGTGCTTCGCACCCATTGTCTTAAGTCTTCCATGACATCAGTGGTGCCAATGCGATCCGCGTCCCTGCAGCTAAGTGCTTGCTCCGCTTCCAATTCTGATGATGAAACCAATACACCACTAGCAATGGTTGGCACTGCCATTGTACTCCGCTGCGCTACCGCATTCTGTAACTGCATGTCATTAGTGCGCAAACGCCCTGTTGCTTCTTATATGAGGTAACGAGCAATAACATAGGGAGATTAGAACTTACCGGTGTATGGCAACGGTTCACATATTGTACGATTTGAGATCTCATTTTGTGTACGCTCCACAGGACAAACCCTTTGATCAATTTGTCCGATACGCCTTTTCGCGCGCAAATATCGATCCCGCAAAGTGCGGTCACTGGGCAGCATGAAAGCCCATTGTCGGTTTGTACACCGAGGTCTCATTAACAATGCTGAACATAAAACGTTACGTTTAACGTGCCCACGTACATTTAAAAGGACCCGGATGAGTGAAAACACGGAAACGTCCAGCAATGTCCCCACCGGTATTACTAACGGAATGCGCCCTGCAAAAGAGAACGGAACCTCACAGTGAAGCTACCTATGTAGAGCAGGAGTAATTGCGCAAGTGAAGATAACAGTGCGCAAACTCTGCGTTACGGCGATAGCACCTATAGGTGCCCTATAGGGCAAAGCAACGGCAACGCTTGTGAAATAATGCCAAGGTAAACAAATTATGATTGCAATATTATAACCAAAACACTTACGGTGCTTCTTATATCTAACAGACGTCGAAACGGCTTCTTTCCAACTCAAACTTGTTTATCAACTATCGAAAATGCACAAGGAAAAAAGAAGCGCACTACGTGGGAGCAGGATTGGTAACCAAACAGAGCAATGCCAGCGGTACCTGTAAATTCAAAATGTGAGTTCTACGCGGTAACTCGATTTTTTGGCGTGCCATACTGATCGAGTTTTCTAGCTGAAGTATTGTGGAAAACAGTGTTTGAATAAACACGTGAAGCGAAATTTGACTATCGTCAAATTTTCTCTGATCCAAGATATCTTGGATCGATTCAAGTGCTACTGGACAAAGCGTCTCCTTGACGCTTACTGGTAATTTTTGCGGTTGTTCCCCTTTTTAATCCCGTTTCACACCCTGTTTTGCCTTTTTGTGGTTGTTTTACGGTCGTATACGTGTTTTTCAATTCAGCTCAGTTTTCCACTTTAAACATGGTCGTCTTAATAAAAACCGAGGCGGATGAAATCTTTGGGTCCTCGATTGATGAGTCCACTGCAGTTTGCGGCAATTCTGCCTGCTCGAGACCAGTTACGGATTCATCTGGTGGTATGCAGTGTGATATTTGCTTCCGCTGGTATCACAAAGGTTGCACCGGCCTCCGAGCGAACCAGTACGCTATGCTATCATCCAGTGAAAACCTCCTGTTTAGCTGTGATGATTGCTGCACTCAAAAAGCGAAGTGCCCGGCTATCATCTGTGCCGAATTTAAGGCACTGGCATGCAGGTTCACATTGGTTGAGAAGGCGTTAGTCGGGCTTGCCTCGCTCAACTCTAAAGTGGACTTGATTATGAATCACCTGAGTATTGCAAAGGAGGACTCTGTAGCGAACTGTCCCCCTGCTGACAGTCCATGCCTTGATGGGTCGTTCATCTTACCGGACGCTCCAGTACACATTGAGATAGATGACTCATATGCCTCGGATGGCATTGTTGACCCTCCGCAAACGGAGGGCGAGTCACGGGCTCCTGGGCCGGAAAAGAAGGGGCGAAAGAGGGCAAGAAAAGTGCGCAAACCCTCCGCACCCAAACCGAGAGGTGTGAAGACGCTCAAGTTGCAACCACCTGAGCGGGAAACACCACCTGGTGATGCGAATCCCTCAGTTTCACCTAAGATTGTGCAGGCAGGGGGTAAAAAACCCCAGATGTCTACATCGAGTGCTACTCAAATTGCGGTGCCTACTCCAAACACATCTTGTCTTCCAGGGGTACAGGTCGTGGAGGCAGGCATGGATGTTGAGCCACGGGATTTTTCGCCTGCAGGAAGAAAGAGAAATCGGAACAGAAATGCCCGTACTCTTCAGGCAGGTTCGAAAAGCGTCAAGAATGACGGGACAAACAAGCTGGAGCCTAAGTCGTATGCTACAGTTGCTTCAACCTCGTCTGATAACTTGCGCCCAGTCTCGTTTTCCGCGGCTAAGCCGGTTGCGGTTCATGTAAATTCCAAAACCCGTGGGGTAAATACACCCCGTCGAGGTGATGCTTTCATGGATAGCAGTGTGATATTCCGTAACGCAGTGGAATCCACTGCTGCACTTCCTGCCGAACGTACATTAGACGACCTACAGTGGTTTAAGATGTGCGTAACCAAACTTCTTCCGCCTGGGTTTCCCGGTGTTACTGTCAGGAAACTGACTAGATTGGGTAACGTCCCAGTTAACGCCCCAAACCCTCGACCGCGCTTACTTCGGGTAGTCCTATCTACCCCGGAGGAACGCAACGCGCTGTTGCGGTTTGCCTTCAAATTGAAGGGTACTAATGTTAGTGTTCAGCCAGACCTCCCATTAGCGGATAGGCTGAAGCTAAAAGAGGCCATTAAGGACCTCAAAACCAGGCGAGCGGCCGGTGAACAAGGTCTCCGGTTGGTGGGTTTTCGGGTGGTCAGCCGGCGGTCTGTTTCCGCCCTACCAGTGCCAGTACTGGTAGCGCACGACCCAGGGCTGGACATTACGAGTACCTTCAAATAGTGCTAAGCAATGTGCGGAGCCTAAGGAATAAGATGTGCGAGATAGGTCTGCTTGTAGATGGGTCTCATCCCGATATACTTGCATTCACTGAAACGTGGCTGTCTCAAGACATCACGGACGGTGAAGTACATCTGCCTGGCTACGCACTATTTAGATGTGATCGCTTCGTTGGCCGACAAGGCGGGGGCGTTGCGCTTTACGTTAGGTGTGAACTTGACGTTTCACGCACCTACATGTTTCAGACGGCAGATAAAACTGTCGAAGCGCTGTCGGTAGTGATTAACACTTCCTCAGCTCAACTTACAGTCGTACTTGTGTATAGAAGCCCTGGAAGTGCGTCCAAAGAGGTGCTTGACTTTATTCGCTCCCAATCCGCAAACAGGTGTTTGATACTGGGGGATTTCAACCTACCAGAAGTTTGCTGGGCGGATCTTTCTTGCAACTCGGCAGAAGGTACTTTCGGGGCAGATCTACTTGAGCTTACGCTACAAGTACCATTGTATCAGTTCGTGGACCTCCCCACTAGGTACATGGACGCCCAACTCCCGTCTATTTTGGATCTAGTGTTTGCCAAGTCACTAGACTTCGTAAGGGACGTCAATTACGGCTCTCCCTTAGGTGCTAGTGATCATGTTTGTTTATCGTTCAGGTGTAGTCTGACCAGGCGTCACCAGAGCATTGCTAAGCCATTTCCAAACATATGGCGTGCTAACTATCAGGCAATGCGTACCAAGGCTGCTGGGATGCGTTGTGAAATCTCGGTGGTTGATACGGTTCAGGCGGCCTGGGATAAATTTAAATCTTATCTCACGGAAGTGTCTACTCCCTACATCCCGCTTGCGAGGAGAAAGGAGACACGGGCGCGGCCGCCGTGGATAGATACCACTGGCAAGCACCTGCTCCAGAAGCGTTCTAGGTGCTGGAGGACCTACCGTGCGGCTCCATCAACTAGCACCTATGCTAGGTACCGCGAGGCTAGAAATAGGTGTAAACAACACTTAAGGAAAGCTCGGCTGGTGTACGAAAAGGAATTGGCTGACGGAGCTTCGGAAAATCCGAAGAAGTTCTTCGCTTATGTTAAGAGACGCTGTGGTTCAACTTCGGTAATCCCAACTTTGATGAGGGCCGATGGAACTCGTGCGTATGCGGACTCAGATAAGGCTCGTGTACTTGGGGAACAGTATGCAGGGGCTTTTGTACGTGAGGCCGCGTTGACTAGCGTTGAATTTGTCCCCAGAGTACCTGATGGTTCTTATTTAGCTGAGTTTACTGTGGGGGAAACGCAAGTCCTTAAACTGCTGCAAGAACTGAACCCTTCCAAATCAGCTGGACCTGATTCAATTCACCCGAAGCTTCTGCATGAGTTGGCGGGGGAACTAAGTGGACCGCTGACGATGGTGTTTCAGAAATCACTTGACACCTGTACATTACCTTCCGAATGGAAGGAGGCTGTCATCTGTCCTATCTTCAAAAATGGCGACAGGAGTCTGTCAGCCAATTATAGGCCAGTTAGTCTGACTAGCGTCGTGGTCAAACTGCTTGAAAAGCTGGTGAGAGATTCGTTGGAATGTCACCTGAATAGATTTAATCTGCTCAGCAGTGCACAACATGGATTCCGGAAGGGGTTTTCGTGTTTGACGAATTTGTTGGTTGCTCGTGAAGCTTGGGCCGAGGCAGTGGACAATGGCCACGTAGTGGATGTGCTTTTCGTAGACTTCTCGAAAGCATTTGATAAGGTACCCCACTTGAGGCTATCACATAAGCTGAGGTCCTACGGCGTATCTGGCCGCGCCCTTCACTGGGTATCTGCGTTTTTGCAGGGAAGAGAGCAGTGTGTACGTGTGGGTCGCAGCTTATCCTTTAAGCAAGCGGTCCTTAGCGGTGTCCCACAGGGCTCGGTCCTTGGACCGATGCTGTTCTCTATCTACGTAAACGATCTCCCTGGAGAGCTTGGGGTATCATCCTTATTGTTTGCTGATGACCTTAAGCTATGGAATGTTGTAAATGTTCCTGGGGGTTCTGAGGCCATACAGCGTGCACTGGACAGACTCTGGGACTGGTCTACTTTGTGGCTACTGCCCATAAATCAGGCTAAGTGTTCCGTCCTTCGTATAGGAGCAACTTTCCCGCCTTCGAGCTACGTACTCGGTGGGGTCGAACTCCCCCTTGTCTCCAACCAGATAGATCTAGGTGTCGTTCATTCCTCGTCTTTGCATTCTGGTGACAACTGGAAGAAGGCCGCTAGTAGGGGTTTCAGAATGTTATGGTTAATACGCCGTTCTTTCGGGGTCTTAACTGCCGACATATTTGTGAAGCTATTCTCAGCTTTCGTTCGGCCCCATCTGGAATACTGCGTCCAGGCTTGCGCGCCCTGCCTTGTTCGGGACAAAATGGAGCTTGAGAGGGTTTTGAGAGTAGGTACCAAATTGGTCGAGGGGTTACGGGGGCAATCGTACCCCGAGCGTCTACTTAGCTTGGGTATGTATTCAATGCACTACCGACGGCTTCGAGGAGACCTAATCCTTACTTACCGCATTTTAACAGGGAAGGTTGGGCCGGACTTGCGCTGGCTGTTTAGCCCGGCTAGGTTGCCTTGTCTTCGCGGTCATCCCATGAAGCTACACAAGCCGCGTTCTGACGGGATCAGGGCGGAAACTCGGTTATCGCGTAGAGTTATCGAGCGCTGGAACTCGCTTCCAGAAAATGTAGTCAGTGAACCTACGGTTAAGGGTTTCGAGCGTCAGTTAGACGCTCTTGGGTGGCAACACGAAACCTTTCCCTTCTCCTGACCATATCCATCTTCAAACTTTCAGTTCTTATTCTGTCATTATCTTCACTCTTTGGTGTTATCCTTCATTTTAATGACTTTCATTCCCCTTTATCTTTTCATTTACTTTCTACTTCTTTCTTACTTCACGTAACCTACACAGCGCGGACTGCTAGTGCAGGGAACGTGGGCAGTAGTTGGTTGATCAGGGTGTGCTTCGGGTGTTTCGTTTTAGATCTATCAAGAACTAACACCTTATCATTTCCTGGCTCAACGATTTGCTCAAGAAGGAACACTCAAGGGATTTTCCTATCGTTCCAGTCCATCTGAATCTGAATCTGAATCTGAATCTAAGCAATCACGTACGAGCCTTCGACGG